ACATATAAGTAAGCTCAATTAAAGGTTTTATTTATATATAAATTGTAAATTATTTTAAGTAAAAGGCAAAAAAGTCACAGTTACAGACTCAGCAACGTCAGTTTCTAACTTCAGTAGATTTTATGGGGCAACATAGTGATTTGGCAAAGGGACAGTTGCAGAGTTCAAATGCGAAACTACGCGCCAACAATTTGTGGACAAAACCGTCTGATGACCTCAATTCAAATTGACTTCCTGTAAAAGATGTCGGTGGTTGGAAAAAGTAATATATTATTTTTTCATATAAAATGTGAAACTATGTGTGCAGGTTGGTGTTGATAATCACCTTGTCCAAGCAAATTCAAAGCAGCGGCCTCTTTTATTGGAGTTGGAATTGTTGTGGATCTATTTGGAACGACGAGCGTTTAATAAATACATAAACGAATCTTTATTGAGACATTTTATATAAATCTATAAAAATTAAATATTTGAAAACATTTGTCACATAATTCGTACTTCTATTTTCATACCCGTGGTCACATACGGAGAGTATATTTGATCGATCTGATAAAATTCTTTTTTTTTAATTCGTTCATTTTTGTTTAAAAACAAAACACTCGTACCACACAAAAATATGTTTTCATTTACAATTTTTTTACGTTTCCTTTTGTCATTCTTCGTTATTGTTTACTTTGTGGCGACAGTGTTGCCCTATTTTCTATTTAGTTTGCGAATGCGTTTGCGTGAGCGTTACAGAGTACCAAATTGTACTCTTAACGCATTTAGCTTTCGCATCGCACTTGCTTTCGCAACGCAATACAGAGTAACCCCCCTGGTCAATGGTGGATTTGGCAGGTCTGAAGCTACATTGGTATGGTCCAATAATGTCATTGAACATTGGCTTCAGTCGTTCACACAGCACGCTGGATAGCACGTTATATGCGAAGGGAAGGAGACTAATTCTTCTATAGTTGGCACATATCTGTTCTTGTCTCCTTTTTGTGCACGGAAAACAGGATGCTGAGGCTCCAATCATTGGGCATGCATTCCTCTAGCCAAATTGACTTAATTAGCTGGTGCATGCTCCTGACCAGCATTTGACCACCAGTTTTGAATAGTTCGACTGGTAATCCATCGGCACCTGCTGATTTACTGTTTTTCAGCCGATTAATTGCTAGTCTGACCTCATCTTGGCTATGTGCTATACAATCTATACCGTCATCTCTTATTGGTTCTGGGGTATCTTCTTCACCGCCACTATTTGATACCAGAAGCTTTTCATAATGCTCCTTCCAGATCCTCAACACGTTATCTGTATCTGTCACCAAGTTTCCATCTTCATCTCTACAGGAGGATGTGCCTGCGCAAAAGCCTTCGGTTTGGTGTACATTCTGGCTCCTGTACATCTCGATTTGCTCCCGCTCACGTTTTTCTTGTTCATTCTTCTTTTTTATGAAAATACGTTTTTCCTCTCATCTTTTCTCCCGATAATACTCCATCACATTACGCGTTGCTACTGTCTGCAGGGTTCACCCCAGTAGTATTACGACACTCCTTATCGTATCATGGGTTTCTTGATGTTGGTTTTTGGTACCCAAGTGTTGCTTTTGTTGCAGTTTGTAGGGATTTGGCTATTCTTTGCCTTTGTGCTTCTATACTATTATCGGGACAAGAAGTGCTTTCCGTCAAGCAGGTGGATAAGTTAAGCTGAGTAGACTTCTGCTATATGTTGTGTTTGCGGATTTTCGACCTCGAGTTTCCGTGTTGTGTTAGATCGCACGGGTGCGAACTTTGGCTGCCACAAGGTAATGGTCCGAATCGATATTCGCTCCTCGTGTCGATCGAAAGTCTAAAACACTGGATGAATGCTTTCCGTCTATCACAACATGATTAATTTGATTTCTCGTTGCTTGATCAGGAGAAATCCTGGTGTCTACCATGTTTTTTGCTGCCGCGATGTCAATCAACCTCATGCCGTTGCCGGATGTTTCTTCATGGAGGTTGAATTTTTTAAATTTTAATATCATATCCAGGGCAGTGGTCATATGCTGTTGGAGCCCCTCGTAAAATATTTCTTTGGTATGCTCAAATTTGTCTTCCGATGGAGCTTGGGCGCAAATAATTCTAATGTAGAAGAACTTCGCTTTTATACGGATTATAGCAATTCGCTCATCTACTGGAGTGAATCTGAAGACGAGGTTTTTTATTCTCCTGTTAAGCCAAATTCATATCTTGTTTCATGACAGCTACAATACAGTGCGTAATCTGATTTACTTACGCCAGTCCCTTTCCATCGCATTTCCTGTAAGGCAATAATATTAACTTTGTACTTTCTGAGTACATCCGCCAAAGCGAACACTGTGCCTGTTCTATACAACGTGCGCTCATCCCAAGTGCAGATTCGCATATCGTGGTCCTTTACACGTTTGCGGGGGTCGTCAACATTGAGAGGTTTGCCGATATAATATTTGCTTGGGTTCTACCGAAGCAGCCACCTAATGGAAAAAGTCCTCGAAGCTGCCTCAACAACATTTTTGCACAATTAATAAAATACAACAATTAAGTTATAAATATTTGTTTATTTGTTTTATTCATAAGCATATATGTATATCAAATAAGACTGTAAGCATACAAACATATAAATGTGTGTATATGTATATGTGAAAGAAATAATCTTAAAATCCTTAAAAAATATAAAACATTAATTTATATTTAAATTATAAATTAAACAAAAAAATTGAAAAAAAAAACAATTAAGTATTTACAATTAAAGGAAGCCAATTATTTTATACACAAAAAGGAAGAAGACATAATAGAAATAGAGAAGAAAAGGGAAATAGTTAATTGTTAAGTACTGTACACACATTTTTTAAAGTTAAATTTAATTTTGTTAAGACAGACAAAATTATTAAATGTTTGTTTTTATAAAATTTAACAATTTGAATTATATGTTTTTATTTTTTATATTATCATAATATAATATTCGCATTCCGATCATAACAAATTTAAATTAACGCCACTATAGCACCAAGCGAATGGAAATTAATAATTATTTTGTTGTTGGTCATATATATTTAATTTTTGTGTATTAATTTTGCATATATTATTGGGAGGTTTATAAATAAGTTTATTATTGTGTGTGTTGTTGTTTTTTGTCAATTAAATCAGTTTGTTGTTATTTCTATTTTTTATTATTATTTTATTTCCATAAAGATGAAATAATTGCATTCAATTAAAATGTGGTCAACAACTGTAAAGATTTTTTTCATTACTATTATTATTATTTTTTCTTCCTATATACTAATTATTATGAAAATATATAACAATTAATAATAAGCACTTAATTTATTAAAAAAAATAGAAAACATATATTATATAGTTTTAAAACAAATGTACAAATTAACATGCAGTTTTAAATTCAATTCAAATAATAGGGATAGACATAGCGGTTGACAAGTGTACAAACATACACATGATAAATGTATACATGTTGGTGGGTGTGTTCTATGATGTACTGTACACACTAAAATGTAATGGTTTGGGTATTGAGGGTAAACGGGGTTGCCGGTTTACATTTTTAAAAGAAAATTCTCGGAAATTGAAGATTTCCTTTAGAAACATTAATTAAGCAAACTGAATTGGAAATTTCATATAGAAAACTTAATTCAGATTGGCCTAATTGAAGATTTCCTATAGAATCCTTAATTCAGCCGGGCTGAATTGAAGATATCCTATAGAAATCTTAATTCAGCCAGGCTGAATTGAAGATTTCCTATAGAAACCTTAATTCAGCCAGTCTGAATTGAAGATTTAATATAGAAACCTTAATTCAGCCAGGCTGAATTGAAGATTTCCTATGGAAACCTTAATTCAGCCAGGCTGAAATGAAGATTTCCTATGGAAACCGTAATCCAACCAGGCTGAATTGAATATTTCCTACTGAAAACTTATTTTTTTCAATAGAAAAAAAGATTTTTTATGATTATTTTGTATATACTAATTATTATGAAAATATATAACAATTAATAATAAGCACTTAATTTATTAAAAAAAATAGAAAACATATATTATATAGTTTTAAAACAAATGTACAAATTAACATGCAGTTTTAAATTCAATTCAAATAATAGGGATAGACATAGCGGTTGACAAGTGTACAAACATACACATGATAAATGTATGCATGTTAGTGGGTGTGTTCTATGATGTACTGTACACACTAAAATGTAATGGTTTGGGTATTGAGGGTAAGCGGGGTTGCCGGTTTACATTTTTAACAGAAAATTCTCGGAAATTGAAGATTTCCTTTAGAAACATTAATTAAGCAAACTGATTTGAAAATTTCATATAGAAAACTTAATTCTAATTGAAGATTTCCAATAGAATCCTTAATTCAGCCGGGCTGAATTGAAGATATCCTATAGAAATCTTAATTCAGCCAGGCTGAATTGAAGATTTCCTATAGAAACCTTAATTCAGCCAGTCTGAATTGAAGATTTAATATAGAAACCTTAATTCAGCCAGGCTGAATTGAAGATTTCCTATGGAAACCTTAATTCAGCCAGGCTGAAATGAAGATTTCCTATGGAAACCGTAATCCAACCAGGCTGAATTGAATATTTCCTACTGAAAACTTATTTTTTTCAATAGAAAAAAAGATTTTTTATGATTATTTTCTATTGAAAAAAATTTTATAGAAAAGAAATCACTCCTTTGTAAATATTATATTTTTTCTGTAAAAATGGCAACTCTGTTCGTCAAACATATTGAAAATGTTTAATTGTCCAATCTCTATTGACATACATTTGTATGTCTGTATATGCAATTAATATAAATTCAATTTCAAATATATTTTTAATATTCAATCCCCCAAACTCACGCTAATGCACTTAGACACAAACACACATACAAATAAATATTTCTATGAATGCACAAATTTGAAAAAAAAGGATTTGAATTGAAAGGCGGATATACAATTGAACAGATAGACATATTGGAAATGTTTGTTGGTGTTTTTGTTTTCAGTTACGTTTCGATGAATTAATTAAATATTTACAACAATGTGTCAGCAAATGTTTTTCCGTTGACGATGACGAATTGTTGTGATGATGACTGCTGTGATGGGGTGGTGCACCCAATTCACGGGTATAGATATCCAAACCGTATTGCCCTTCCTCGGGGAAGCTATAGAATAAATACGAATAGAAAATGTTACATTTATTTTAATTAATATTTCATAGGACTTTGATTTGGCATTTGGGGCATGTGGTACCCTCACCACCCTTCACCAGTACTTACTTGATAATGAATGTCACAATATCATCCAATATACTGTGTGTCACATATTTGGAGAGTTTCTTCTCTTCAATTCCGTTTTTATGGAGCGTAGCCATGAAATCGGTTAGGGGTCGGGACATGCGGAATTGTAAATCCAAACTACGTCCGGCAAAAATCAATGGATCCTGTAATATTTGAATTTTTTATTGAAAGTGAATCACTTGCTTCAGAAAATGCAACAAAAATTGGCTATACCTGATGTGTAATGGGTATCAGGCCAAAGAGACGTGTTGCCTTGGTTGGACCCCATTCACCACTGGCACAATCCGGTAGCGGGACCATTACTGTTTGTAATTCCTCACAACAAATCTAAAACACGATTAGAAAATAAAAACATAAATTAGTAAACAAAAAATATTTAAGCTGTCCTCAATGGGTTAAATTGACATTTTTAGATTAAAAAGACTTTCAACAAATAAGGATTAAAATTCTACTTTAAAATTTTGTCATAGTACGCTGTAGATTACGATATAACACATCAATGTATATTAAAGCTAATGACTATGAAAACTACAAAAAAGCATAGCATACTTTCAGGCGTTCATTATTAAACTTAACCCTTTGAAGGCATACGAACATTGGCTTACCTTAAATTTGCACACCGATTTAAATTTCATTGGTTCGCCGGTCAAATATTCCTGTGGCGTTACAGCATTGGCGAAAATATCCAACAGGAATGCTCCGGAACAGGGAGCATGCACCCGGAAGGCAACAATATTCCCAATGACCGATTGCATGACGAAACGTTTCAGGGAGACACCATCATACGAGTCTTCATCACTGTCATAGAATTTCAAATTGTAGTGGAAAATCAGGCAACTTTGCATGTCCGTGGGCATGGCAATGCGAACAGTGGCGGCACCTTTAATAAACAGGATAAATTAATATATAATTTAAACAGAGAATGCATTTCGGCCCAGCTGAATTAAGGTTTGAATAGAAATGTTTCAAATCAGTAAAGCTGAATTTAAATTTAATTAAAGTTTCTCTAGGAAATATTCAATTCAGCCTGGCTGAATTAGGGTTTCTATAGGAAATCTTCAATTTAGCTCGGCTGAATTAGGTTTTCCTGCCTGAATTTGGGTTTCTATAGGAAATCTTCAATTCGGCCCGGCTGAATTAGGGTTTCTATAGGAAATCTTCAATTCAGCCCAGCTGAATTTATTTTTCTAAAGGAAATCTTTAATTCGGCCCGTTTGAATTATCGATTCTTTAGAAAATTTTCAATTCAGCCCGGCTGAATTAAGGTTTCTATAGAAAATCTTCAATTCAGCCCGGCTGAATTAAGGTTTCTACAGGAAACCTTCAATTTCACCTGGCTGAATTAAGGTTTCTATAGGAAACCTTAAATTCAGTCTGGCTGAATTAATGTTTCTATAAGAAATCGTCAATTCAGCCTGCCTGAATTAATGTTTCTATAAGAAATCTTCAGTTTAGCCCGGCTGAATTAAGGTTTCGATAGAAAATCTTTAATTTAGCCCAGATAAATTAAGGTTTTTTCAATTCGGTCTGCCAAATAAAGGTTTTTATAAAAAATCGTCAATTCAGCTTATAAATAAAATCGTAATACATAAGGATGCATTTTTGAAGGGTTTGTTCTGGTAGTTAATACCACTCACCAGTATCATCTGTAAAGACCACAGCTCCATAACCCTCATCGGCAAAATGCAGGCCATAACGGAAGAACAGCGATCGAACAAATGGTAAATTCTCGAATTCCCGCAGAGTAATGGGACGCTTGAGTAGCTGCCATTCTTCTTGCAGGGGGAAGAATTCATAAATAAATTCTCGGGGATCGGTTAAGAAGTAATGGTCATCGTATTCATATCTGGAAGAAGGAAGAAATTAAAAATCTAATCTTTATAGGAAAATGTCCCTTGTCTCTTACCTCAAACTATCATTTTTACCGCGACCCGTTTTGGGTACCTCCTTAGCATTAACCAAATGTCTAGCACCCCAATTACATTGGACAAATCTCCATGCTCCGGCCACAAAGACGGCATTCCACGAATTCCGGAAACGGGAATCTTGGAATTTAACACCCGGCTGATAACCGGCACTCTTCGAATAGCCCTTAATGACAACACAATGGAGACCGGCATAACTGCACAGACGTTTGAACAGCACATGATAACTTTCGGTACCGAATTTGATGCCTCGCAAGAGACCCATAGGTGAGTCACCTCGCAAATCATCATCGAAGTGCATATTATTCAAATTCTTCACGGTGATCCAACGGAATATTGTTCGGGCCTTTTCAATATCGGTTGTGCATCGGCCCACCAACTGCCTCACCAAATCGGTGAATGTTTTCTGGTCCTCCTGAGCCACCGAAATTGCTATACGATCGACATCTTCAAACTCAATTGGATCTGTATAAATTTGGAATTTACTAACAGTGGGCGGAGCAGGCAGGGGTGGTAAATTGGGATATTCTATGGGTGTGGTACCCTCACTGAACTCATCGTCGAGGAAAATACTCTCGTTCATCATGTACTCGGAGCGACGGGCACTGATCAACTCCAACATTTCACTAGACTGACGATCGACTAGAGCTGCCGTCTCATAACGTTCATGTTCGAGCATTTTTCGGGTAATGCTCTCCTTCTTTTTACTACGTCTCAGGGTCATGTTCTTTTCCAAGTCCTCTTTTTGCTGCTCGAGACGTTTGGTGAGAATATTCTGTTCCTCGCGATTGCGTCGCGAAGTGGTTAATTCTTTTTCGAATTTATGCGTCAGCCGTTGAAGTTCACGTTCCCATTCCGTTTGGAATTCAGATTGAATTTTACGATCCTCCTCTTCACGTTTACGGGCAAATTTACGATAGAGGTCATCTTCCTCCTGTCGATGTTTCATTTCGAGGCGCGCTTGTTCTTCGCGACCCTATAAGAAATAAAATAATAAATGAAATTAATGATTGAAACAAAATTAGTTTCCTATAGAAAATATGTGGTCAATAATTTATTTTTTAAAGATTTGATCATTTGCTTGTCTTCCGTGCATACAAAAATATTTTTTTATAGAAAAAAAAAAAAAAACAGTTAGCTGAGACGGAGGGAATTACCTGTCAGCAGAGATTTAGTTCTACATGAAATCAGTTCTCAGTGATTGAAGTCCACAGTTCACGCTGAGGCAATTTTATCTATAGGAAAAAATCGAAGACCTCAGTTCACGCTGAGACAATTTCTCTATAGAAAAGTCTATACTATACTAATATTAACCGTTTCAATTACACCCTATGGAGTTAGCTCCACACTCAATCACCCTCTCTAATTGATGAGGTGTGCATTGGTGTGTGTTCCTATTTTTTTTTGTTAATAAATCAGTCAAGTGCAGTCCAGTGAAACAGCAATGATTATTGTAATTAAACTGGCCATCAACAAACCATAACATAAATAATAACAAACAGCCACAACAATAGCAAAAACAGCAACATCAAAGTCTAAAAGTGCAACATAGACGCCAATCGCTACAAGAATTGAGGTATTTCTATGTGAATTGCGTCTGAGAAGCAACGGGACGGGCCATTCATTCGACCAACCTCCATAATGCAATTTTTGCATTTGATTTGACCAAGTAGACTTTGTTATCTATGGGGAGGAGGAAAGAGGCCGCGGCATATTAACAATGCAATTAACAGTAACATTGTTTACGAAGAGGAGTTAAAGTTCGATTCGCTGTCATTCATTTGAAACGCACAAGTAATTTGGTGAATGTGTGTGTGTGTGTGTGTGTTTGCAGTCATCAATCACTTTCGATTTTAAAGTAGATGTTCGATAAGCTGATTTGTCATATTTTTCATGAGATACACGTATTTGTCATATTCTCAGAGAGACTAAACTCTAAAAGCTGTATTCTAAATATCAAGTTTGAAGATGGAGATTTTCGGTTCACTCCTTCTGGTGAAATGTTAAAGAATTGAAACCAAGTGGTTAAGTTCTCCGCGATGTAACCTGGTGAGCTGATAGTACCGCGAGTTCAACCATAACAACTATAAAAAAATGAGTCTTCGGGTTAGTTGCTCACACTCCGAAAATCCAACTATGAAAAAGCAACGAAAATGAAAACCAAACCCACCCCCATGTTAATGATTACTGATTGTATTATAGCTGTTATGAAACGAGACATGAATTTGGCTCCGGAATTTTGGTTAACAGGAAAATAAAAGTCTCCAGATTCACTCCAGGGGATGAATTGCTATAATCCATATAAAACGAAGTTCTTCTACATCCCATGCTCCTCCGAAGATGAACAGACAAAAGACATATTTTACGAGCCATGACTTTAAAATTCAGCTGGGAGATTTTTATGCAAACATCGAAAGGAAAATATTTTTGTACCCACCGTCGGAATATTCATCTCGATATACACAAGGCCACCACCTGATCAAACAACGATAAATCAAATTGATCATGTTGTGATAGACTGAAGGCAGGGACGTACGCAGGGGGGGGGAGCCCGGGGGCAGCAGCAAAGGTGCGATCTAACACAACACGGTAACTCGACGTCGAAAAGCTGCCCCGCTCAAATTACCCACCTGCTTGACGAAAGTAGCTCTTGTCCCTATAAGAGTATAGAAAATTAATACAAGGTCAGCAGTTAGAGTCGGAAAGGACCTCTCGAAGCCATTCAATGCCGAACGAGGATTCAGACAATCGTGTGACCTTTTTACCATCCTGCTGAAAAATGCCATACGTGATGCAAAGATGAACTGAAATGGTACACCGATGTCATCGAAATAATCAGTCGAACATTGCGAACGAATTGAGAAGGAGTGTGTCAAAGTGGGACTGGCAGTAAATGGCGAGACGACCAAGCAGATGGTATCAACGCCCAAGACGTCCATTAGACTCGGATCAACTGTGGAGCTTGGAAACACAGCTTTGAGGTAGTCAACGATTGGTTCCGCCATAAATAAAATTAATGACATCAGTCTGAGTAATTTGAGAACAAGGCCACTTATCGCCAAACCAAAATTCTACTCTATTGATACAACCGGTATGGCAGCTCATGGAGTGTTTGAGAGAAAATCAAATGACCCACGAGTTGTACCATCTATACACGGAAATCGACATAGTCGGACGTATCGAGCTGAAACGACTACGGTGAATATATCATGTTGTGAGAATGGATGAAGATGCCCCAGTTCAAAAGGCATATAAAAACGGCCCAACTGTTCATGCAAAAGGGGAAGGTAACAAATGCGGCGGAAAGATCAAATGAAAGATAACATATCGGAACATTTTCTTTCAAATTGGAAGTCTTTTTAAGGCTCGGCTTAGGTCTCGAGACAGCTAAGTAAGTAAGTAAAAAATCCAAAGCCGAAATACTATCAAAAACGGTATGAGGACTAGTTCGAGACATGAACAAGGTTTTGATAAAAACCCATTACATCCTCCAGGAGTTACGGTGCGCAAGAGGTAGCTAACTAAATCGACTCAAAAACAAGTAAAGCTGTGGCTATATACCCTAAACCATGTGGTTCACACAAATAAAAATCGGTGCCTTCATATCCAGACAATGTCATTGCAAATTGTCTGCTGGAAAGTTGTTTATACTTAAAAACCTTCAAAATACAAAAAATGGAAATATCAGTGTCCCAAGCCCGAAATCCAAATTTTGGGCGCTTTTGTAGGTAAATGCGCGTAAACCCACCAAAATAGCGACAATCAGGAGAGACTTTTATATGGGAGTTATACAAAATCATGGACACATGATGTTCATTCTCTGTGCAGATGTATGCAGATCCAAAACAACAAAATGCCAAATTATATCGGTTGGAAAATGAGGCCAAACCCCTCCAAATTGGATGGGACATTTTCATATGGTGCATATATGTATGACAGCCACCAAGGACCCGGAATGTCATATTACAGGACTCCTTTTGATGGAGAGTATATATATTTGGTCCAAACACACTTAAGGTCTTAAAACCACCCTGTAGGCTAAAGGCTGATGGTATAAAATGGAATAAAACAATATGAGGGTCATTTCATCCTAGAAGAGATTAACTAATTTTACCAAAATTTTGCTCTGCATAACATACATATGCTTACCGCTTTATGTAATAAAAAATCACAAAAATACAAAGCTATTTATCATTTGATCAGCATTTTGTCCGGAAAATTTGTCATATTTTATTCGCTTATCTCTTAATGGGTGTTAATTATCAAATAAATTTATTTATGGTATTTTGTAACGGTCTGTTGGTTATAATTATGACAATGATGACAATTCTGTCATCAGTTTAAAATAAAAACAAAACTTGATTTAGAAATATGTAATTGATATTTTTAAATTAAGTTCATAGGAAAGGCAGAATGAAATGCACTTCCCAAAATTTGAAATGAAATTCCCAAAAATTATAAAATAAAAAATTTTATAAGGCTTGAAAGCAAAAAGTGTTCATGTATATATTCCAATTTTAATCCTAAGGCAATATTTGTTATAAAAATCCTTTGATTTAAATCAAACCTTTGTATGAACGTGATTTAATTCGGTTTAATTTTGTTATATTTCTAATTTTTTCACATTCAACATTTTTTACACCATTGACCTACATATTGTAGGATTTGCATTAAAATTTGAAGTTTTACGGCTCTTGAATTTCAATGGCCTTTGACACAAAGCCACAAATAGAAATATACAATTGTCATGCACACACATCTATTTTCATGCAAATATTTTGCTGACAATGCATATTTTTGTCACTATGCAAATTATTTTTATGCACCATCACCATGACGCGACAAAATAATTCTAACATTTATTGCAAATTGTAAAAAAAAAATAAATAAAAAAAAACAACACTCGCATAGGAGACCCAATGTACCGTTATTGCACACATTTCAATTATTAATAGAAATTGTAGAAAAATGAAATAGTAACAAAGAAATAAAATAAAAAAAGCTCGGTTCGCGATTTTTTATAGTGGGCCGTGGCACTGTAATTTTTTCTACCAGGGGGTTTTTATCCTTTGAGAAAATGAAATATCAAATTAAAGACACTTATTGGATAATTCGACTGAGCTCTTAAGCGTACCGCAAATGGGACTGGACCTTTATATGGCGGCTATTGTAAAACATGGACCTATATTGACACTGTTTATTTTTAAAACTGTAAAACATGGGCGGTACTATAATACGGGGACCTATATTGAAAATTTGTAGCAATTTTTTTTTGCTCACCAAGAACCTGGAATACTTAATTTCAAACACCTCCATCGTGTGGTGTAGTGTATACAAATAAAAACCAGTGAGCGGAGCAGTATAGTCGGACGGGGCCGACCATATGATACCCTACACAACTTCCACGAAAATCCAACATTCTGTGGTTCTATATTCTGAGCTTGGGCAATATTTCGCGATATTTCACCCTCTTGGTCGACTAGAGGTCAACAAATATTATTAATATTCAGTACAGATTCCCTTCACCGTGGGATGTGTTGTGATGTTCGGCTTTCAATTGTGGCCTATAGATCAACTCGAAAAAAGACCACAAAATAAGTTTTCGGTCTAATTCATGCCAAAAATATTATCTGAAATATTATCCATTTGACCCGCTAAATATTGGCCGATGTTTATCAAAACAGGCATGCTTATTCGTTGGCCCAATCCCCTTCTCCATGTAAAAATTCGAGATGTTTGGGTCATAATTGCGGCCTCTGGAGCGACCAGAAAAACCGAAATAAATTAAGTTTTTGTTCCATTTCATCCCCTAAATATTAATCGATCTTTACCAAAAACAATAGGGGTCTTCATTGGACTTCATTGTGTTTTCTTTGAGGAGGTATCAGAAGAAGTGGATAAAACCCTAAATTTTTTCAAATCCAATCTTGTGGATCCTTTAGAAAATCCACGCTTGTGGATCTTTAAAAGAAATTT